CAATAGAGTTAACATTATGCCAATCCTCTTTTTTTGTTTGTACTTTAACTGTGCTGTAGGAATAAAGTGTGTTTTGCTTAAAGCCTTGTGATGGACCAATTGAATCACATCTGGAACTCAGCACCTTACACTTGCCTTTAAAGTTAGGATCTAGGATATCTTCTTGATAAATTTGAGGCATTTAGTCTAGTCCATAACACCTGCCAAACCATTTTTTGTCTCTAGGCCTGCAGGTATTTTCTCTGAAAATAATTATTTAATTCTCTTCTGAAAGCATCCACTACAGCTGCTTCCTCAATACTGTCAGGTAATGCATTCCAGATGCTAACCACTTGCTGCTTAAAAAGGTTTCACCTCCTGTCACTGTTGCTTATTCTTCATGTTAAATTGTTGTCCTTTGCCTTTCCACCCTTCTCTCATTGTGAACAATGGAGAGATAGTTGAAGCCCAGATACACACAGACATGGTGGACCAAAGGGCCTGTTCCTATGTTGTACTGTTCTATGTTCTATATCAACTCTTGTCTAGAGCCCTCATGGTTCTGAAAACCTCATATCAGATGTCTTTACTCTTCCCATCTCTAAGGGGAGCAGTTCCAGGTTTGCAGACTTTCCATATAGCTGAATTTCCTCATCCCTGTTTAGATTCGATTCAATTCGAATGTTGCAGCTTACATAGTGCAATACAAATCAATAAATTTAAATATAGTACATGGTCCTCAACGGCACCTCACTCCACTTACATTGCAGATTGCATTTACATTTACTTTTAAAAATCTATTTCCTGCTGTATATAGCCCCAGGGGTTTTACAGCTATCAAAGCATCTTGTCCAAAGGATGTCCAAACTGTACCTTTCTTGGTACTCTAAGCTTCATCACATCCCTCAGATCTGTGCCTGTTTGCAACATTTGGTCGTGGATATCTCCTTGCACTGGAATACTAAAGAGTGTCCTTTGTTGATGTTGATTTTGTTCTAACCGGAGTAGGTATTTATCTCAGTGTGTCAGCTCTGGAACAGTTTGCAGAGTATAGATTCATATCTTAAGGATGAATCTTGACAAATACCACTGCATCTCTTTCACGATGTTTCTTGAAAATGCATATTTCAGGAACAAGTTTGAGCCTGATTTTTGCCACATACAGCAACTGAGTTTCTCATAGCTGAGGTCTAGGCTCTTTCTTTTTAGTTTCTTGTATGACGTGAACATTAATGACTAGGCCAGCATATCTTGCCCATCCCTAATTACCCTATAAAAGGTGGTGGTGAGCTGACATCTCGAACCATTGTAGTCCATGGTCATAGGTACACTCACAGTGCTCTTAGGAACGAGTTTCCTCTGTAAGGGACTTTGATGCAGAAGCAGAGAAGGAACAATTATATACTTCAAAGGAAGGATGGTGTATGATCCCAAGGGAACTGTAGATGATGATGCTCCCACTCTTTGTGGCCCTTGTCCTTCTTGGTGATGGAATTTGTGGATTTGGAAGATACTGTTGAAAGTGCTCAGGTGATTTACTGCAGTGTGTCTTTTAGATGGTACGCATGGCTATCACTAATCATCATTGGTAGAAGGATGAACATTGAAGATAGCAGATACATTGCCAATCAAGCTTTGTCTTGAATGGTGTCAAGCTCCTTGAGTGTCCGATTTGCATTCTTCTAGTCAAGTGCAGAGTATTTTATCATATTCCTTATAGATGATAGACAGGCTTTGGGGAGAAAAGTGATTTTATCGCCAAAGAATTTCAAGGCTCCTGTAGCCACTGTATTTATAAGGCTAGTCCAGTTCAATATTTGGTCACTAGGAACCCCCAGTATGTTTATAGTGTAGAATTCAGTGATGGTAATGTCAAGAGGCAATGATTAGATTCTCTCTTTCTGAAGAAGGTCATTGCCTGCCACTTGTATGGTGCGAATGTTATTTGCCAGTTATCAGCCCAAGCCTGAATGTGTCCAAGTCTCGCTGCAAATGGATACAGCCTGCTTCAGTATCTGAGAGTTGAGAGTGGTGCTGAATGTGGAGCAATCATCAGTGACCTTTCCTATTTCCGACCCTATGATGGAGGGAAGGTCATTGATGGTTGTGCCTCTGAAACTACTGTGAGGAAGTCATGCAGGGATGTCCTGGGACTGATATGATCGACCCCCAACAACATAACAATCTTCTTTTTTTGCTAGGTATGATTTGACTAGCAGACAGTCCCCCCATCCCAATTTCCACTGATCTCAGTTTTGCTTGGGGTCCTTAGTGCCATACTAGGTCCCTGATATTAAGAGTATGTACTGTCATTCATCTCTGAAGTGTCGGTCCAATGTTCCCTGTCACTGGTTAACTATAGCTACATGATTGTCCTAGTTCTTTGTGAATGCTTTGGTCTCTCCAAGCCTTATTCCCAGCACCTTCAGGTAAACTGATCTGCCAATGAAATAGACAAGGTATCATTCAACCCAGTTCCCTAAGAACATGGCCTCACCTGTACTGCCATTTATTCCATGTCATAAGACAGGCTCAAACTGGTCAAAGATGCTCATCAATCTGGAGACTGATTTGGGCACAACACAGCAACGTGATCTATCTTCAGGGAGGCCTTGAGCTGAAAGCATTCACCATCTGAGATTATCACCCCTTTTCTTGCATTCTTCCTGATTAACTTGTCCTGGTAACAGTCTTGGATCAAATTTTGTAACGAAATGATCTCTCCATTTGAAATTTCTTCCTTCTCCCTCCTTTTCTTGTGCATTAAGGTGACGGTGCCTCTCTTGAAAGATACTGATTGTGCTGCTTGCTGTAAGTGTGCTTCCAATAAGCACGTCCAGGTTGTTTGAGCCTCACGCAGCCAAAGTAAAACTTGACAAGTACCTTGTTGCCTTTGTCAAATCATTCAGAATAAGCAGGTGATCGAAACCCTCTCTTTTTCTGACATATAAAACCTGCTAGAATGAGAACAGGAAAGCCAATGAGGCTGTGCTGTATGTGGGTTTTCTGCTGTGCAACCAATATTAAATAACTTGCTGATCCCAGTGTGTCAGCCTATGAGGTTATCACCAAACCATCTTCTTCATTCAGGCTCCTGATTCTAGGATTGTGTGCACTTTTTGAAAAAAGAAACACAAGCTCCACAGACCAGTCTTTGGACCAGAAGATATTGGAGAACTCTGAGGCAGGGAGTTAGGTTCCTTATATACACTGACCCCACTGCCTGCAGAAGGAGCATTTTTGGAATGCTTTCTGAAATTAAGGCACTTTCCTCTCTCTCTCTCAACTTCTGAATATCTTTCAAAATAACAAATTACTTGATCTTTACCTTGATTGCATCCCACCAGAGGACTGAAGAGGTGTTCATTCTTATCCAACCTTTGTAACTCTGAGTTCCTTGATGTTTTCTGGGGTCAACTTCCATGTCTCCCTGCCAACCCTCTAGTTTCTTGTGGGTAACATTTGAACATTGCGATGCAGTCATTAAAGAAGAATATCGGGTTGACATACTGGTGGGTCTAAGCATGAGCGCTTGAAACAAACAGGATGCAACATCCTTGGACAAACAAGCCTGCCCAGCCCTAATCAAGTGTAACCATAAGGTGCTCCATCTACAGCTCTATTGAAGGCATTGTGGAGCTTGGTATCATCAGTGGTGTGACCCTTTGATCTTTTACTTAGAAATTCTGTGTCTGATACTACCTCTCTCAGTAACACCTGAAGAACTGTGGCTCCGAGAGCTTGTGTTTTCAAATAAACCTGTTGGACTGTAAACTGGTATGGTATGATTTCTGACTTTGTCCACCCCAGTCCAAAACTGGCACCTCCACATCTTTCACCTCTGGACTTAGCCATAGCCAGACGACCTGCAGCATCAGTGACAGATCACTAAAAACAAGGACATGATCACCTACACCTGCCCCTACACCTCCCCTCTCACCCCCATCCCAGGCCCCAAGAAGACTTTCCACATCAAGCAGATGTTCACCTGCACATCTGCTAATGTGGTATACTGCATCCGCTGTTCCCGTTGTGGCCTCCTCTACATCGGGGAAACCAAGCGGAGGCTTGGGGACTGCTTTGCAGAACACCTACGCTCGGTTTGCACTAAACAACTGCACCTCCCAGTCGCGAACCATTTCAACTCCCCCTCCCATTCCTCAGACGACATGTCCATCCTGGGCCTCCTGCACTGCCACAACGATGCTACCCGAAGGTTGCAGGAACAGCAAGTCATATTCCACTTGGGAACCCTGCAGCCCAATGGTATCAATGTGGACTTCACAAGCTTCAAAATCTCCCCTCCCCCTACCGCATCCCCGCCTCCCTAACCTGTCCTTCCTCCCACCTATCCCCTCCTCCCACCTCAAGCCCCACACCCATCTCCTACCTACTAACCTCATCCCACACCCTTGACCTGTCCGTCCTTCCTGGACTGACCTATCTCCTCCTTACCTCCCCACCTACACTCACCTTTACTGGCTCCATCCCCGC